TGAGAACAGCGGTATGGGTGGCAGTACATCTTTTTATGAGTGGCAAGTGGCGGGTGGCATGGAGTGGCAAGTCGATGGGTGGTAATAGTGGCGTTACATCTTTTTATTATGAGTGGCAACAAGCAGGTGGCATGGAGTGGCAAGTGGCAAGTGGCATCGACTGGTAACTAGCAGGTGGCATGGAGTGGCAACTAGCAGGTGGCGTGGAGTGGCAACTAGCAGGTGGCATGGAGTGGCAAGTGGCATCGACTGGCAAGTAGCAGGTGGCATGGAATGCAAAGTCGATAGCTAGTAGCAAGTGGTATAATAAAGTATGACTTCACCTGAATGGCTTGTAAACAGTCCCGCACTTTACTAGAATGCAAGCATTCTCACCACCAAAATGATAGCATCAGCAGGAATATAGTGACAGAACACAGCATGGCCGAGCTATCAACATCAAATGACACGTAAATGACATTACTTCAAAAAATAAAATATTTTGTAAAAAATAGGTTATTTAATGTTAAATGTATGAATAGAGATTAGTAAATACGGGAAAATTACGCAGGTCGTCCGTTTACAAATCAATAATCCACAATACTTTGCAGTTTTCTAACTGTGAGTAGAACTCTCACAAGCAAGAGTGCAGCGTAAGCCATCTCCCATAATACGTACAATAAATTGTAAACAAAAAAAATACTATAATATTGAATGCACAACTTGGATTTATAAAACAAGTGAAAATCGCGCATGTCCTCCATTTACAAATAAATAATCCATCATACTTGACTAGTTCGTAACTGTGAGCAGAAGTTACGCATGCAAGTATACTTTTAAATATTACAATAAATTGTAAACAAAAGGTATTATAATATCGAATGCGCAAAGCAAAACAAGTGAAAATCGCACAAGTCCTCCGTGTACAAATGAATAATTTTGACAAGTTCGTAACTCACGTAGGCAGGTGGGCAGCGTAAGCACTTTTTCATAATACAATAAATTGTACAATACAATAAATTGTTTTGTACAATAAATTGTACAATACAATAAATAAATAATCCACCACACTAGACAAGTTCGTAACTCACGCAGGCAGGTGGGGAGCGAGGTCATGGGCGTGTGTATGGGGCTCATGCCCGGGCACCTGAGGGTACACACGAGGTGCAGGAAGAGGGGTAGGGGCCCTGACCCCCCCATAGGTCTCCCTAACTAGCAGGTGGCATGGAGTGGCAACTAGCAGGTGGCATGGAGTGGCAACTAGCAGGTGGCGTGGAGTGGCAAATCGAAGGCTAGTAGCAAATGGTATGTATAAAGTATGACTTCACCTGAATGGCTCGTAAACAGTCATGCACTTAACTTTAGTATACAATTAATTAACATTAATTAATAATACAATTCTTAGAAGAATGCATGCATTCTCACCACCGAAGCCATCAATATGATACCATAAGCAGCAATATAGCGACAGACCACAGCACGGCCGAGCTATCAACATCAAATGACACTTAAATGACATGACTTCAAAAAAATGAAATGTTTTGTAAAAAATAAGTTATTTAAGTTAAATGCATGAATAGAGATTACTACATACGGAAAAATTACGCAGGTCTTCCGTTTACAAATCAATAATCCATCGTACATGGCAGGTTTTTAACTGTGAGCAGAACTTATGCAAGCAAGAGTGAAGCGTAAGCACTCTTTCATAATACAATCCAGCGAGGGGGAGCCCTCGCTCCCCATGGACGGGTTATCGTCGTCCAAATCCTGGCACGAGGCGAGCGAGTGCAGGCGACGCTGGGCTGTGCATGGCAATATAATTCAGGCGATGTAGGTCATATGGTGAATATTCTTAAACAACCGGTCCATTTTAAGCATTAATAATAAAATTATAACTTAAAATATAGAGATATATACGTAGGTATATGTGAATATTCTTCAACAATCGATACATTTTAAGCACTAATAATAGAATTATAACTTAAAATATAGAGATATATACATATATGGTGAATATTCTTCAACAATCGGTCCATTTTAAGCACTAACAGTAGAATTATACCATAAAATATTGAGATAAATATATAAATATTGATCTTGATTTAAATATAAATGATACAAAAATTTAGGGAAGTTAATTAATTGACATTAACAGCAATGAATATATATTGACACAGCCAAACAATATCTCACGCGATAATTTATACTGAAGGAAGAAGGCCCTACCTGGAAGACGCTAGTACTAAAATTAAAAGAATTAAAATAACATAATAACTCCCAGCTGCTGGCGTCCTCGTCGCCGCCCCCACAGCCGCTCAGAGAGCGCTACCAACAACTTATATTTAAACTTTCTTTAAAGCAATCATATATTTCTTCAGCGATAATTTGCGTCTTATTTTTATCATTAAAAATTAAACCAAAATGTTCCGACATAGAGACAGGATAACAGCCGCTCAGAGAGCGCTACCAACAACTTATATTTAAACTGTCTTATCAACAATTTATATTTAAACTGTCTTATCAACAACTTATATTTAAACTGTCTTTAAAGCAATCATATATTTATTCAGCGATAATTTGCGTCTTATTTTTATCATTAAAAATTAAACCAAAATGTCCCGACATAAAGACAGGATATATCAATACGAGCTGATCGAGGTTTGCTTCTAATTTCTATACTTACGTGTATCAAGTTTAAATGTGTGGTATAGAATAGTATATATAGGCTTAATCTATCGCTTTCCTAGTCATGTGATCATGAACTTGTTATCAATAGCTTTTGAATATAAAATCAATTCCGATTGAAAACCCCAGCAAGTACAAATCAAGCTGCCGATAAAATAAGAAAAATCGCTAATAACAGCTTTCCACTCAAACAGTTAATGGCGAATGCCAAGAAATAGCATACGTGCAAATTGTGTCAGCATAAAATATGCGAGGAAACAACGTTAATAATTTGTGCAGGGTCAGGGTTACGTGCAATAGAAGGTTTGCGGTTACATGCATGCAAACTGGAACAACTAAGATTAATATTGATTAATATTAACAATAATAATATCAGTAGTGCATCAACGACTGAACATGAACAGATACGGGCTATGTTTCAAGATAATAATAAATTATTGAGAGTCGTATCGATGCTGTATTTACTGCAATTAAAAGTGAATATAACAATTATAATTGATGAAATAATTCAATATAGAAGTTTATACTACAATTTCATCACAAAAATAAAATGATATGAAGAGCAACTAGGAAAATATATAGACAAATAATTTTTATGTATGCAGAAAACACACAATTACAGAAGGCGGTAAAAAAAAACAAACAGAAAATTACGTGGATGTCAAGTCTTTGTTGGTTGTTTGAGAAATACAGGAATATGTTAAGAGTTACAGAGTCATTCTCATACAACTCTCTCTCTCATTCACACTGTTTTGTGTGAATGTACTCAAGTGCTATGTGTGAATGTGCTCAAGTGTTATGTGTGAATGTGCTCAAGTGCAATGTGTGAATGTGCTCAAGTGCTATGTGTGGATGTGCTCAAGTGCTATGTGTGAATGTGCTCAAGTGCTATGTGTGAATGTGCTCAAGTGCTATGTGTGAATGTGCTCAAGTGCTATGTGTGAA